CGCCTGCGGCTCCCCGACCGCGGCCCGGCCCAGCTGCGCTCCCGGCTCCGCGGTCACCCCGGAAAATTGCCTGTGCTCCCCGGCGCATTCACTCACCCGCTCAGCAGGGGTGAACTGCGGGCCTCCCGAGTGCCAGGCACTGGGGATTCGGGGTGGATACCACCTTGCCCCCCCGCTCTAGACTAGCTCCCCGGTTAGCAGGGACACTGTTACAGCAATTACTGCACAATGTTACAGGTGCTTTTATGAGGTGCATGCTGAGATTTGTGCCCACAAGCGTATTCTGTGCGCGTGACCTAAGACCCCACAATTGAACTGAATCTTGGAGGATGGGTAAGGGTTTGTCATGTGAGGGGTGTATACAAGGGAGGGAGGCATTTCAAGGGGAGGAAAAAGTGCTAAGACATTGGGGATGAAAGAGTAAGATGGAAAGAGGAAAGGAGGCAGTTCCTTTTCCTTCTAGGCTCAGGTGTACAGACTATAGGGTGGGGGTGGTGGTGAGGTCCCTTGGGGTCAGACTTTGAAAGGCTCTTTGTGTCCCATAAAAGAGTTGGGACTTTATCCCTCAGCAGTGAGACTCAGGAAGAAGCGTCAAGCAGGTGGCCATGACATTGTTCCCATTTGCTTTGCTCACCATTATGTCCCAGACAAACAGGCTAAAGCCTGCACACAGCAGGGACTCAGTATTCGTTGAATGAATGTCAACCATAGGCCAGCCTTTGGTTAGGTGCTTACACACACCCATTTATTTAATACAGCAATCTTGTGACTTGGTGGCTGTTTGTCCCATCCCCCGCCCTTCCCCCCCCCCAAATGCAGTGTCAGACAGGAACACTCTGCAAGAGACTGATGAGGGAACATACACAGGAAGCTGGACCTGGGATGCAGGTGTGAGCTATGTGGAGAAGCAAGGAAGGACGGTTGTATGGAAGGAAGCTTCTTATACTACAGTGCAGCTCTAAGAAAGTTCAGCAAGGCTGTGGGGGTTCCTCAAGCCACAATGGCCTATCCCAGGAGTCCAGCATCTCCCAGGAATAGACCTCTTGTACTTAGTCATGGGCTGCGAGCAGCCGCGGCAAGATGGCCTCTGCACCAAGCTAGCGATAAATATCAGAGAAGAGATTTCCGATCTCAGTCTCTGGGACGGATCCACTGGTCGGTTATGCTCTGCACTGGAAGATCTGAGAAGTACATTTTCTTGGTCGCTATAATGGTATTATTCCTGTCTGACAAGAGGAAACCGTGGCTCTGTAAGGTATGTAACCTAACAAGCTCAACCAGTTGCTGAATGGTGGATCCTTGCCTAGACAGGAACGCAGGCTGGTGTCCTCCAAAGCGCCTGCTTTTTCTACCCTGGGCATTGCTGCCTCCCAGCTGCCGTCAATGAGAATCTGCAGACAGGCAGTTAGTTCAGCGGGGAGACTTTGTTAAGGACTCAGGGAGATGCATTTAAAATGGTGGCAGATTCTTTGACACTCCTTCTATTGAGAAGTGGGATCTATACCTTTTACCTTTGAATTTGGGCTGGATTTAGTGATTTGTTAAACCAGTAGAATATGGTAGAAGTCACGTATCCTGGAACTTCTGAAGTCAGATCATAAATGCCTTGCAATTTCTTTCTGCCTGGGGCATCTGGAAATTGTTGCTCTTGGAGCCCTGAGCCACCTTTAGGTCTAGCTACCCTGAGACCTCTGTGCTGGAGAGAAACCGGAGAGACCATAGAGAGATGGCTTGAGCCTGCAGGAAGAGAGATGCACTGCCAGCCCCTTGCTGTCCCCAGCCATTTGAGTCATGGGCCCCAGACATATGGAGCAGAGTGGTCCTGAACTTGGGACATTGACAGTGACAGTGGTGCCCACTCCCAGCTCTACCGAGCAGTAGCCCCGAGGCAGGCTGGAGGGGGGAGGTCTGGAATGATTCAGCTCTTCCAAGCCTCATGCCCACAGTGCCTGGGTGGCCCCAGTCTTCATGTCCCCCCGCCAGCAGCCTTTCCCTACCCCTACTCCTGCCATGGTAATGTTCTATTCTGCCCCCATCTCTGCTTTAGATTCCAGCTATCTCCCTTAGCTCTCCCTGTGCCCCACTTTGCTTAAGGGACCATGCTAGCCCACTAACCCTTGCTTGTCCCCTGCCTGGGCAATGGTTGGGGTCCTCTGCAGTCTGTGTGTGTCCTCTCCCTCATTAACTAGACAAAAGATTTGGTGACCTTCCTTCCTGTTTGGCTCCCAGCAGTGCATGCTCAAGTGGAACCCTTCCTCCTCCATACCCCAGACTAGATTTTCTGTTTGCTAGCCCAATCTTGAGCGCAAACTCCACAGCTAACACCCTAGGTGGCCCTAGGCCACCAATCCCGGGGCAGTCTTCCTTCTCATTGTTCATTGAGATCCCTTTTTGCCTCTTGTCTGGTCCATTAGGGCAGTAACAAACTGTGTGGATGGAGCAATGGGCCCAGATTTGAGAAATACATCTCGGTGTGGGGAGGGATCCTGAACAAGGGTTTCCAACTCCGTTGCCCTCAGTTTACCTTCCCTTTGAGGCTCTCTCAGGCAACACCACTCCATTGTTTCCACTATGTCAGGCGGTTGGTAAGCTGCTTCCCCTTTAAAACTCTCGTCCAAGCTGGACAAAAACCTCTTTCTTGGTTCCTCTTAGCACAGCTGACCAGACTAGCATTTAAAAAATGCACTAAACACTAACAAAAGGACCTAATTACAGAAAATATAAACAGCTTAAAAAAAAAGAACCCATGTTCCCCAAATAGCAGTCTGTAATCCCACAGTAATTTCTGTCATATCATAAAGAGCTGACACAGCCTTTTAGCACCTGGCCTGGCTGGCTTTCGGTTTAGTTCTGTCTTTTTCTCCACCCCATGGCGGCTACACATAGGGACTGTGCCTCAAGCCCCCACATTCTCCTACAAGCTTCCCAAAGCCCCTTGGAGCATCCTCCTTATTTTCTATACGACATGTCACCGCCACTGCTAATTGGCATTGTTACATCTTTTTTGGTGCTCTAGAATCATTTCACTCTACAGGTGAGACTCAACTCTATATATAGGGAGTGGTGGCTACATGGCAGGTACACAGACTAATAACCCCCTGATCATCACTCTCCTGAGGGTCAGACGGAGATTACTGCTGCTACTGGTGAGATGTGGAGGCTGATGCCCTGGCAGAGAGACAAGCAGGAAGTTTCCCAGTGACCTCTCTATACCTAAAATCAGAAGAACAGGAACTTGAGAAGAACAAGCACCCTTGTGAATGAATGACTATTGGTGCCTGCTGCAAAACTCAGTCATTCAAGACTCAGAAAGAGAACAAACTTCCTTCACAAACTCTGAAAAAGGCTCCAGGACAATAGACTCTGAGACAGGAGAAGCAAGAAGGGCTCTTAGGGCCCCACCTGAAATCTAGAATAATGAGATCTTCAACGGAGGTTATTGGATAATCATTGTGTACTTTTATGTTAAAAGTATTAATGTGTTAAATGTAGACATTTATTTTTTTTTAAGATTTTATTTATTTACTTGAGAGAGAGAGTATGAGCAGGGCGTAGGCACAGAGGAAGAGGGAGAAGCAGACTCCTCGCTGAGCAGGGAGCCCAATGCGGGGCTCGATCCAAGGTCCCTGAGATCATGACCTGAGCTGAAGACAGACGCTTAACGACTGAGCCATGCAGGTGCCCAAGTGTAACCATTTAAAGTACACCACAATTTTTACAAGGAGGGTAGGCAATCTCCAAACGCGACTGTGAACAACTCTTTCTTTGTAGGCTCCTGATGCTCCTGGAATCCAAGGTGGAGTTTATTCTCCATCCCTTAAATCTAGGATGGCCTTGTGACCTGCTTCGACTGATAGAATGTGATGGAACTGACGATAGTGTGCCAATTCCCAGTCTAGGCCTTAAAGGGCCCGGCAGCCCCTTCCTTTACCTTCTTGCAGTCCATCACCCATGGTAGAAGCTCGGGTCAGACCCCTGGGTGATGAGAGGCCACATGGAGAGAGACTCTGGAGCATGAGAGACCATCAGGCATGTCATAGCCCATCTAAACCCCCATATGCTACATGGAATAGAGATGATGAGCTGTCCCCGCAGAGCCCTACCCAAACTGCAACGTTGTGAGCACATGAATGGCTGTGTGGTAAGCTACTCAGTTTGGGGGTAGTTGGCTAGGCCATGATAGACAACTAAAACACCATTTTTTGTTATTTATTAATTATTTTAATATTCCAGGAGTCTAAAAAAGAACAGAAGTGGCCCTAGGCCTTCGTTACTTTGTGATAGGCCGGCTCCAAGAGCTCTCTAAAGTTCTTGGCTTTCTTACTACTCTTTGAAGGCAATCTATAAAATGTACCAACATGCCCTAGTGATTTGATTTTTGGTATGTCTAAATGTTTGTGGAGTATCCTTAACCCTGAGCAATTCAGGATGCATAAGAAAAAATTTCTGTCTCCATCCTTCTGATCTTACCGGTCAACCCAAACTTCTAATATTTACAGAATTCCTTTATGAGACAAGTGACAGCCCCCTGGGCTAGAGCTTCTTCATCCTTTACATATCACACTCTGAGCATGGCAGAGCAGAAGGAATCTGGCCCAGTCTGCTACCTCTTCCAACCAGGAAACCCTGTGTCTTCCTGACTACCATCTTTGCACCCCAAACTAGGGGAATCTTTTTTAGTTTGTTTGGCTTTGGCTTTGGCTTTATTCTGTTTGGGGTTGTGCAGAAATAAGAACCCCCCTCTTCAAATCTGTGTTTCTTTTCTGGTTTCTCTAAGGATGCGGAGTTTTTGAAACATGACACCTGGGAAGCCACGATCTATTTGCTTTGTTCTCTTCCGTCCCCTGATGCCCCAAGCATAGTCTCTTCTGACAGAGTGTGTGGTGGTGGTGGTCGTGGTGGGAAGCATGGGGAGGCAGAGGAGTGAGGAGGAGAAAAGAAATTGAATACTCGCAGTGCCCTGTAAAGTAGATACTGTGTCTCAATTTTAAAAAGGAGGACACTGAGGCACAGAGAGGTTGACAAAGTAGTTCAAAATCATGTGGCCAGTGAGAAGCAAAGCTGGTGCTGAAACTCGAGTCCGTCAGACATTTAAGCCAGGCTTATGCCAGGCTCTTAGCCACTGAACTCCTGGTTAGGACTTCTAGCCTTGGGTTTTCTAAGAGCAAAAGGAAAGCAGTGACAATTGATTTAGGGGAAAAAAAAAGCTGTGACAGTACCAACATTCTCAGTGACGTGGGCAACCAGGAGGGGCAGTGGGGTTGACATTAGCTGTTTGAGAGAGAGAATATTTCTGCCTGCCTGGACTTGATGTTGGACTAGAATGGCAAGCCAGGAATGAGCTGCAGGTTCCCCTCAGCCTCAAGGTAGCTAGAAATGAATTTCCAATGTATGCCCTGATGTGAAAAGTATTATAATCTGTTCTCACTTGAGGTAGTTTGATGGTACTTTCTAGAAGCAAATGAAGTTTGAGTTGTGTTTATTTTTCTTAATCCCCTTTTTTAAAGATTTATTTATTTATTTGAGAGAGAGAGAAAGAGAGCATGCCTGCATGCAGGGAGCGGGGCAGAGGGAGAGGGAGAAATCCTCAAGTGGACTCCTCAATGAGTGCAGATCGGGACTTGGAGCTTGATCCCAGGACCCTGAGATCATGACCCGAGCAGAAACCAAGAACCAGACGCCCAACTGACTGAGCCACCCAGGTGCCCCTTGAGTTGTGTTTAGATACTGTTCAACTCAGTGTGGCATATGATGAAATACCAGGGCTGTCTGAGTCCTGCACATTATGAAATCAGGGCTAAATAAGCAACATAAGAGTTTACAGTTATTATTTTATGATTTATTGCATGGGTAGTTGTTTTAGATGAAAAAGTCAAGTTTACTCAATATCTATCTCTGGGTGGGGGTGGGGAGGAGGAGTGTTTGGGGGGGCAATGGGGAGTGAAGAGGGTTCTGCCTGAGGGTCAGGGCAGTCCTTGGCAGCCCTGAGTGGTAGAAAGGAAGTGTCTGGCTGACTGGAGACAGGGCTGTGGCAAGAGCTCGGGGGTGGGGTTAAGGTGCTAGATTCTGGAAAGGGTAAAAATAAGACCTGTCCCTCACCTCTTACCTAGAGCCACATTTGCTGAACCTCTTTGAAATTATTACCCAGAAGCCTCCTGTGTGAATACAACATCAAGAAAGATTGTTATTCAGTTAACTTTAAAACTACTGGTTTAGAAACATTTCCAGGTCCTTGATGAATAGCCAACACTCTCTCTTTTTAGCCTCAATGAAGAATGTTTTAGAATATTCATGACTAGTGACTGCTTCAACTGCGTTGCAATCTATCTTGAGCAGCACTGTTTTCCTGCATTTCTAATTAAGCCAGAGGAGACAAGGATACCAATCATACTTTTTTAAAAAGTTAAACATAGCCTTATCATATGTTCCAGAAATTCCACTCCTAAAACAGGTACAACAGGACTGAAAACAGGTACTCAAATAAATATTTGTACATAAATATTCATAGCAATTCTGTTTACAATAGCCAAAGGGGAAAACAACCTAAATGTCTTACCTGATGAACGGATAAACAAAATGTGTTATATAAATACAGTGGAATATTATTCAGCCACAGAAAGGAATGAAGTACTGATGCATGCTACAACATGGATGAATCCTGAAAATAGTATGCTAAATGAAAGAAGAAAGACACAAAAGGTGATATATTGTATGATTCCATTTATGTGAAATATCCAGAATAAGTAAATCCATAGAGATAGAAACAAGATTGGTAGCTGTCAGGGACAGGGGTAGGAGAAAATAAGGAGTGACTGCTTGGTGGGCACAGGGTTTTCTTTTGGGATGATGAAGTTTTGGAACTAGATAGAGATGGTCATTGTACAACAATATAATTATGCTGTTGTCATTGAATTGTGCACTTTAAAATGATTAGTTTTATGTTATGTGAATTGCACTTCAGTAAAAAATACAAATCACATTGGTATTTTATAAGAAAATGGGAGAGTATAAGGAAGAGATGTATAGATATCAAATGCTCCCAAGGGTTTTTTTTTTTTTCCCCTTTTTCTTTCTCATATACCATTTGATTTGAGTGAAAATCACTCCTAGAATAAGATCTTTTGAAAATTCAGTGATGGTAAACAACTCTAGAAAGTTCTACCACCTTTTCCCCCAGGGTGAAGATAAAAGGGAAGTACATTCTCTGTTAATATAAGGAGCAGGACTATCCAAGAATGTGTGTTCACCTGGGGTCAGCAGGGACCTCAGAAGCTCCCTCATTCTCTCAGCAGAGTTGCCCATGGGACTGGCAACTTCCTCTCAGCTTTCCTTACCTCCTCATGGGAGACTGCGTACCCCACAGGCCCAAAGGTCCCCAGGTACAGGGCAGCTAGCACTCCTAATCAACCCCTATAACGAGACAAAACCCTGTAGAGCCTGGCTGGCCCAGTGGTTAGAGCATGTGACTCTTGATCTTTGGGATGTGAGTTCAAGCCCCACATTGGGTGTAGAGATTATTTAAAAATAAAATCTTTAAAAAGAGAGAGAGAGAGAGAAATCTCTAAATCCAGCATGTCTGGCACCATGCAGTGTGTTTACTCCTTACAAACAAGGCCACTGTCTCGCACTTGTTCTACAGAAAGCGAGATTTATTCTGGTGGGGAGGGGACTGGGTAGGGGTAGAGGAAGAAGGGGTGGTGGGGAAAAGCTTCCTCCTCCAGAACACAACCTACACACTGTCCACCACCCTTGATCCTGGTGTTGTGAGTTCTCTTTTTCACCAATAAAACCTATTCTTTAACTTATGCTGGGTGATATTATGGAATCAGTTCCAAACTCTTTAACAATAGGTGATGACCCTGAAGGAACTAATATCTATGTGTGAGAACTAAAAAAGAAACTGCACATTTAAGAATGAGGGTCCAGGGGTGCCTGGGTGGCTCAGTGGTTAAGCATCTGACTCTTGATTTTGGCTCAGGTCATAATCTCAGGGTTTGGGGATCAAGCCCCACATGGAGCCCCACTTCAGGCTCCACAGGGGTTGGAGCCTGCTTAAAACTATCTCTCTCCCTCTGCCCCTCCCTCCCTCCCTCTCTCTTTCTAATAAAATAAATAAATAAATAAAAAATAAGAACGAGGGTCCTTGGGAATGCCTGAGTGACTCAGTTGGTTAAGGGACTGCCTTCGGCTCAGGTCATGATCCC